AAAAAAAAAAAAAAGAATCAATCTTTTCAAAAATAATGGCACTAATGAATTAGTAGAAGATATAGGTAAGTTGTAGTGCTTGGGAACGAGGTTATTCCGGGCGAAAACCCTTGGAATTAAATTCGGAAAAATTAATTTCCGACCTCGCTGGGATTCGAACCTTTTCAAAAATATATTTATAACACAGTCTAGATCTGTACACAATAATGCTATATAAACACTATAACTGTACATGGTTACTGTAAAGAACATGTCCTCATTGAATAAAAAAATTCAACTTAAAATGAAACTGAGATGAACCTTTGATTTTATGAAATCACAGTACATGAATTCAATATAGAATACACTGTACAGTCCATGTAGAACAAAGCAACTCCCAGGCTGGCAACCAGGATAACCAAAGACCAGACTACAGTATTCAAAAATACTACTTTATTTCTTGAACAAAGGTTAAGAACCTAATTAAGAACCTAGTTAGCCTAATTTAACACTAAATACTATTTATATAAGAACCTGTTTAGGCTAACTTGAAAAAATCTAGGTTCTTATACGCGGGTTTTTACTACAGTCTAGGTCCGTGTGCGTAGTCCAATCAAATTTTGTCCAAGATTATGTAAGTAATGAACAATGAACAACCAATCAGAAGGCACAATTCCTAACAGTAACCGCTGGAAAAATAATATTGATTTTACTTTTGAGTGAGTCCCTTCAATTCAATGTGACTTCCGTCACTCAAAAATATATATTAAGTACCTCAAATTGTCAATTTCTTGTGCGCTGATTGGCTAATTTTCATCATCGATAAGGAAACTGACCAATAAGCCGACGTCAACGATCGCGCGCTCTTTCCGTTGGTAGTTTTGACCACTAAAAAACRTCGAATAAACGTGTAAGTGATTTCTTTTGTGTGGCAAAGAACAAGTCGAGGTCCCTTCTCTATGGATCTGTACTCTAGTAAGTTTTTTCATCTTTTCACGGTGTATAATTTACCTTTTCATCATTACTTATAGAACATGGAAGGGCGTCAGCATGTGATCCAAATTCAAGTGGAACCATGAGCGTAGCGCAGGATGTGTAGATTGGCAAATTTATTTTAAGAGTAAAAATCCTTTGTTGACGGAGACGAACACCTCAGAAGTAGGTGTCAATCAAGCCAGAAGAACGTGAACCTTGTCATAGATAAACTTGCCAACTTAAGCCAAGTCGAGTCAAGTACTATTCTTTGAGATGAAACGTGAAAAAATTGTCGTGATTATCACAGACTATAGGAGACAACAGTTTTTTTAGAAACTTGCTTGAAGATTTCGTAATCTGAGGCATAGCATATGAAATCAGAAAATAATCGTTGTCCCTGATTAATTAATAATAACGATAACGATAACGATAACGATAACGATAACGATAACGATAACGATAACGATAACGATAACGATA